ATGTGAAAAGAAACATTTTATTCAGGAGATGATTAAACCCCAAAATTCAATTTAGTGGTTTCTTCTTCTTGGGGAAGAAGAGGTTGTGATCAGGGAGGATATTTTTAAATTAATGAAATGTTCTATTTCTCAAGCTAACTTGGATATTTATTATAAAGAAATATTTTTATACTTTTGAGTGAATTAAATGTAAAATTTTAAAACACAAGCACATATACAAACGCCTAACACTATTTCTGGAACTTGATCTCAACATATTTTCGATACTGTTATTCTTGCTTAAAGATATGAGGTATTAGTTAATTCCACGGCAGGAAAAGGAGCAATGACAGGCCAGTTTTCTAAAAACCATGGGTAATGCTGTTTGTAAAATTTGTCAAGTGGGTCGGCATAGTTCTTCACTCCAGGAGGCAAGCAGTGTCTCTGCCTTCATGAGACCTACTCTGCCCCTTGCCACTCGAGCCTTGTCCTCTCCCCTTGGTTTGCCTGCACTTGGTCTTGGAATCCAGTTTTACCTCTGTAGTCACCCCCTCCTATCACTAATTTCTGGCCACAAGTCTTAGTTTTCAGACTTTTCATTCAATCCATTTCAGCCCATTCATGAGTCACTCTTGCCTGTGGACAACTGGCACTCCCGGGCACAGTCCGGCAGGGAAAGATGAATTCAGTGAATTTAAGCCAATGAAATCCTTTATGAAAGTCATGATGGACCTCACAGGGCTGTTTCTATCCTAATTCCAGGGATAGCTTGAGAAGATATGAGACATCTGAGGCAGTATTTCAGTGTGTTACAGTGGTCAGGATCACCTGCGGCACATGTTAAAAATGCAGATTACTGGGCCCATCAAGAGCATTAGAATAGGAGCATCTGAGAATGGGGCCCAGGATTTGGCATCTCTGAAAAACCCTGATAGTTCTGATGCTCTGTGATTTCCCTGTAAAACTGCTAGCTTTGAGAAAACCTGCCCTATCAAATATTGGCCTGATCTAATCATGGATACAGCCTTGGATGGCGAGTTATGGTTTTTTTGTCAAAGACAGACACATCACCAACCAGAATGATGAGCAGCAACCAAGTCACATGCAGGAAAAAAAAAAGGGCAGGGTCAAGCTTTTCTCATATAGCAGGTGTACTGCTTAAACACTGTTCAGATTTTAATTAGTGAAGCTGTTCCAACACTAGGTAGAGGATCATCACAGGTAAAAACAAAGAGAAAATGTCCTCTGCCTTTTAAATTACCTTGCTGCATTCTTACTGGCCCAGATTTATGAAGGGTATGGATGAGAAAGCAGGAAGAGATATCAGAATTTTTAAACAAATGTGCAAGGGCTAAGAGGACATGTAAACTAAAACAGCTGGCCTGGCTGTATCAGTATCAACTGTGCCTTTCTTCTATAGCAGAGCTTCATCTAAAATTGGGTCAGAATGGAGTGTGTGTCTATCCATTTTATTTTGGGCAAAGAGAATAGATGTGATTAGAGCCTTAATGTACTTTTGCTAGATTTGTTTTCTGTAAAAAAGAACTAATTAAGGATTACAACCTCCAACTTTCCCAAGTGCTTGAAATGTTACTATTGTTTCAAATTTATAGAGCTTTCATGACCTTAATATCCCAGTCATGCAAGCATTTATTCTATTGTTAAAGATCTAGTGAACTGGTATCTGGAAGTTTTATATGTGGGAAAAGGCACATTCCTGGCATGCAGCCTTAATGGAGGTGCACATAAGATACCACATCTTGCCTTGGGAAAATGAACTAGAGACTCAACTAGAAAACTTTGTTTCAGATCAGTTAAAAATGTAAAATAGAGCTACCATAGAGCTTAATTGTACAGAGGTAGTTTCAGCTTCTGTACCAGGAGACAGCTTTTTTTGTATTTTCTTGGGATTGGCCCACAGCGATAGCCATAATGGACAGATGTTTTTAACTTTAAATGCAATGCAGAATTACCTATCATTTCTTTGCTATGCAGATTGAATATTTTGCATGAGCATTCAAAAACGCATGTTTATAGTTTGAACTTCTTACGTTTATTGTTTTCTACTGCCAAATGTACGGTCTACAGATGGAAAACTCACATCTTTGATGGGTGTTGAGGAATTGCTCACAACAATCAGTTACACACAGAGACATACTACACATAATGTTGGGAAGGGCTAGATTACACAGTTACCAAAATATGTACAGGAGCAATCCTCATCTAGACGAAGTGTTTCAGGGATTCCAAATGTTCATACTCAACAGCTGGTCCTATTCACAAGACATGGTCAATGGAAAATACTGTTGCTTTTCCCTCCCTTATGTTTCCCCACCTTCTCTATTGCCATCTTTGTGAAAGCAAGAGTGGCATGCTGCCTTATCGTTGCTGCTCCTTATTACCCTCAAATGACAGCAATGAAAGGCAAGGCGATTAAGCAACATTGCAGCCCATTTCTATGAGTCTACCTTTAAAGACAAGATAATTTTAGTGAAGAGGGGCCAGAGGTGCTTTACAACTAGAGGGAACTACTGTGGTTATTTTTAAAAGTCAATGGCTTCCTTACAAGACAGGCACTACCAATTTTGAAGTTATTTTGAATTAAAGGTAATCTGATTTTAGAAAAAGGAAAAACCAACATGCAGAATACACTTATAGAGGTGACCAACCTTTTTGGAGTTGCTTGATTTTGCTGAAACTTGAACTTTTTACAAAAAAAGTACTGAATGGCATTTTCCAATTCCAAAGATTTGATTTTATGTTAACAATTTTGTGGTAGTACTAACCTACCAACATGCTTGAGATAAACTGGTGTGTAAACCAACAATCTTAGGATACACGTAGTCTAGTTTTCGGGTCTGAATATACTATAAACTTACTCAGCCTGACCAGCTATAGCCAACATTCTGGATAATGGTTAGTATGCAACCATAAATACATGCATATATAGACACACATATGTATACATATATACACAAATGCACATTTAAAATTACTTTTAGCCTATTGTTAAGACACTAAACATCACAATTTAATCTTTGGTGATGCAGAAAGCACTGTTTGGTACACCCTGCAGAACCTTGGAGTCAACTTTCTGGTTATGAATCAGTGTAAGTTTATTAATCGACAAAATATAGGAACATCTGAGGGGAGACTGCTCTCCACTGGCCTCAGCTTATAGAACTGAGAGTACTAAAAGAGGTAGTTAAGTACTGATTTTTTTTATTGCATCCATATGAAGTACATGCAATACAAAAAAATTTAAGCTCTACTAGACAACTGCAATTCCCCAAAATAAAAGGTCTAGAGATTAGGCCCAAAGTGTACGGCAGACAGAATGTTTCGGCTGGGCATGGTGGCTCATGCCTGTAATCCCAGCATTTTGGGAGACCGAGGTGGATGGATCACAAGGTCAAGAGATTGAGACCATCCTGGCTAACACAGTGAACCCCAGTCCCTACTAAAAATACAAAAAATTAGCCAGGCGTGGTGGCACACGCCTGTAGTCCCAGCTATTCAGAAAGGCGAGGCAGGAGAACTGCTTGAACCCGGGAGGCAAGGTTGCAGTGAGCCGAGACTGCCACTGCACTCCAGCCTGGGCCACAAAGTGAGACTCCCATCTCAAAATCAATCAAATAAGATAAAATAGTTTCTTAGGGTCCAAAATTAAAGGGACCTTAGCTGAGAGATAGCAGAGTCAGATGTTGTGTTCGTCAGCATTCCTACTTGGCACTGCTGTTGATATACCTCTTAAATTTTTTCACACCTAAATTTGCTTTCATAAGCTAACTGCCAGATTAGTAAACTGAACTTCATACTTTTGCATTTTAAGAAATCTAAACCTTGTTACACACTTCCCACCCAACTCCCCATCATTTTAGATACTACATCAGAAAGCCAAAAACATTTTTGAAGTTTATTTTTATTCGTTTATACAAAGACAGTATCAGCAATAGGTAGTAGAAACTATTTCTAAGTTTAGAATTAATTTTCCATTTTGAAAGGTTCAGGACTTTATCTCTTTTACCTTACTCTTTTAAATACTTCACTCCAACAAAGTAAAAGACAAAAGTTTATTTGCTTACTTTTCCTTAAGGTCATGTAATACTGGAGTAATTAGAATTAGCTCTTTAGAATATAGGTGTCATTATAGTAAGCTGGAGATTTAATTACAGAATGATATATGTCCGAATGTTACAGCACCAAAAAAAAAAAAAAAATCAAGACTATTGAGAATTTTTAAAAGGACAAATTCAGGGCACTTTCAAATTCTGAGGTGTAATAAAGCCCTCTTGTGAATTCTACATTTAAAAGACTCTTTCCTTCAGATTCAGAATGAGAATTAGGAATTACAGACCCCAGTGGGCACTATTAATATGGCCCATTGTAACTAGAGTTTCCAGGTTTTAGGCAAGAGGCCACTGAAAGAAGGGCCAGAAAGCCACTTTAAACTCATGTCCATGGCAGATCAAATGATACTGATACAACTGTTTCCCTTAGAAAGGTATTATATCCCACTGGTAGCAATGTTACCAATGGGTACCCTTGCTAGCATTGGTAGCAATGGGATATAACACCTTTTCTAAGGGAAACAATTCCAGGGCTTGGCCTTTGAACTGCTCATAAGCTACTTCCATTCTTTATATTACCAGTTCTCGGAGCAAACCTCCTGAAAGACTAGTAACAGACGCTGGAGAAAAAAAGACTGTGGGTATAGTAAAAGGGTTCTGGTGCTCTAGCATGCGTCACAATGTAAAATGAGGACACCAGCTAATCTAGAAATGACGTTAACTTTAACTCTAGCACATTCTTGAGATATACTTATTAAACAACTTTTGTGGTTTAGAAATACCAATACTACCTACTTTTGACTATTCTGGACATATTTTACTTTACAAAAGGAAATATAACAGGCTAAAAGACAAAAATAAAAATCTATTTATAGCAGGTAACTCGTTCAATGTTTTTATAAAAACAATTCCTTTCAGATACTCTGATTAACCTTTAAGTGACGTAAAAAAAAAGTTGCAGCATTCTTTAATAACAATATTTTGCACAATTTGACATACAGCCATTAAGTTTAGCATTTCAAAGAAAAATTTTTTTACAAAAAAGAATGGTAACTCATTGAAAAGCTTATGTACCTCGTAAAGTTTAGTTTTTCTTGGATTCTTTAATAACTTAAGCCCAGGATTTTAGTTACCCTAATTACTATCCCAATCAGATAGGATATGTATGTGCGGATTCTAGATAAAAGATAAAATATTTTGAATAAACGCTGACCCACTGATTTGACTGTTTGCTTAGAATCTGTTTTACTGGGTTTAGAGAAGGAAGACTTCAATAAAGCTAACTATATATTGAGTTCCACTGATTAAAAATGCAGTTTTAAAAATTCTGCTTTTGTGGTAAATTTCTAGACAAATCATAAATGCAAAGCTCAATACTGTAAATACTGTACTGTTCACAGGTACTTGTTGGAGAAGTGAAATGCTTGTACTCAGACTATTAAAATTCTGACCTTTCAAAACAGATGTTAAAAAAATTTTTTTGAAAACTAGTATTGCTTTTAAACACTTAAAATGCCAATTTCAATTTTTAAAAAATTTTTGCAGATAAATCTTAAAGTTGTTTCTTTCAGTCTCAATTATTTTTTACTTTCAACTATATATTCAACACAGAACCAGTTTCTAAATAAACATCTAATGAAGAACAGTTTCAATGTAAGATAAAACTAGACAGTCTAACAATACAGCTTATGTAGGAAGTCTGGTGTGATTTATCAAAATTCAGAATTTCTATAATAGTGAAAAACTTTTAGCTTAATATTCAAAACCAGCAACTTCCCATGAAACTAGATAGCTGAGAGGATCAAACAGATTTAAGCACTGCCCGACTTCTTCTAAAGTGATGCACTCTTTTATCCTGGAAAAGATAGAAAGAATCCTTTTATTTTACCGAAAATTTCTGATTACTACCATGCATCTGAAAGTTGTCAAAAACTAAAACCATTTGTTTTGGGTTTAAACATTATAAATAATAAGGAAAAAAGGTGATTCTTTCTGAGAAGCATTCTTGAACACTGGGGTACAAATGTACCAAGATGGCTAGGTTTTATTCAACTGTTTAGTTAAAAAAGAAATCACTTAAAAGAAATCCCAGTAAACTCAGAAATAAGAGGGCTTAGACTCAGTATCATTTTATGTACTTTTTACTTAATAATTCTGCAGTAATGTCCCAAAGACAAATGGGAGAAAATATAACTGTAAAAAAAACCGTTTTTCACTAACTGAATTGCATCTAATAGGACCACAGCTTGCAAACAGCTCTCCAATCTGAAATTTCATGATTCCAGAGGTTAAAAGATGGAAGTTTTGGCATTTAAAGATCTATCACTAACCTGTGAAGATATCTAATTCTTTAGAGAAAGGAAAAATTTAAAATACATGCAAAACTTTCACTTTATGTTGCCTATGGATGTGCAGAGAGATGGAAGTGAGAAGCCTTAAAAGGAGGAATGAGACTGAGCAAATCAGTAATAACGTAATAGTGTTTTCTATTCTACAAAGTTAACTGTGCTCTTTTTCTAGGACTTGAGTTTCATTGTCATATAAATAAAAGTGGCTCTGGAAGTTACCTATCTGTCAAAAGTGTGGTATCCTATTTAGGTTAAAATCTAGAAAACTGGTCACTAACATGTATCTTCAAAGGTCATTTAGGAAACAAGATTATGAATAGGCTACAGAATTAAGACAATATAGAGTGGAATTAGCTATGGAAATAATAAATACATTCAAAAATACCTCCTGCATTCAAATTCAATATAACAATATGCAGTCAATCAAAATAGGTCTAGATATCAGACAACTGCAGGATGCCAACTTCTGATTCCTATCCCAAAGGAGCAGAAAACTCTGGGAGCTTAAAGGGAGTCTTTTGTCTAGTAACAGGTGAGAACTCAAGTTTAAAAACTATTTTCTGAGCTGCGCATGGTGGCTCATGCCTGTAATCCCAGCACTTCGGGAGACTGTGGCAGGAGGATCCCTTGAACTCAGGAGTTCAAGACCAGCCAAGGCAATATAGTAAGATTCTGTCTCTTAAAAAAAAAAAAATCTTTTTAACTAGCCAAGTGTGGTGGTGCATGTCTGCAGTCCTAACTATCTGGGAGGCTGAGGCAGAAGGATACCTTGCATGCAGGAGTTTGATAGAGGTTGTAATAAACTGTGACTGCAACAGTGCACACTCCAGCCTAGGTAACCAAATGAAGTCACCTCAAAAAACGAAAAACCCCAAAAGACTATCTTCTGCTTTGAAAATCATTTAAGTACTACTGTACACACCTATGTAATCATCAGAACTTGGAGCAAAGTAAGCTGATGCACAATTCCAGTTCTTTTCTAAATCATACTATGTAAAATGAAGCAACAAGAGAACAAATGTCAATTTTAAGTATGTTTACTCCCTGTTATGAAGACGTTAAGAACTTAATTCTTCTATATGTCTCTACTCTACACTATACAGGAGGTAAGATAACCCTTTAAAAAGGCTTAAGCTTCATCCTATAACCATTCACAGATGAAAAAAACCCTAGTCTACCTCCTGTTTTAAGACACAAAGTGATGGTTAAACATTTCCTTTGGAATGTAGTGTGTAGCCAGTTTTGACAAATTCTAGCAGTTCCACTAAAGGTTAAATATGACTCAGCAATTCCATTCCCAAATATATATGTATATATGCAAGAGAAATAAGAACGTATGTCCACACAGTAACTTGTACCTGAATGTTCACAGCATTATTTCTAATAGCTAGAAAGTGGAAATAATTGAAATGTATTTAAAAGATAAATGGATAAACAGAATGAGTAATATTCATAAATAAAAAGTAATGAAGTACTGATATGTGCTAGAATATTGATGAACCTTGAGTGAAAAAAGCCAGTCAGAAAAGGCCACATTATGTATGATTCTATATACATGAAATGTCCAGGACAGGAAAATCCTTAGAGAAAGAAAGTAAATTAGTGGTTGCCTAGGGCTACACAGGGTGGGGGGAAAACAGCAGTGACTGCTAAGGTGGGGGGCTGATTTTTGGGGTGATTTAAATATTCTAAAATTGATTGTGGTCATGGTTGCACAACTCTGAATATATGAAAACCAGTGAAAAGTACACTTTAAATAGGTAAATTGTATTATGGGTATCTCAATTGTATATTTCAATAAATCTATTATTTAAAAAACACCTTCCCTTTACTAACCATAATATTTCTCTCCCACTGGACTGACCAAGTTAGTTCTTTTTCATATTCATAGACTTAGAATTACAGGGACCCAGAAACCTTTAGTACTCTCTCTAAAGTACTTTAGTACTTTAGACTTGTAAAAACTGGAGCCTTGGTAAGATTTAAGTGATCTATCCAACACGGATAGAAAGCAGGATCAGAAATCAGGTCTTTCTGATATTCAACTACCCACATTCTCTCCCACTTCACCAACTCTGAATCAATTTCCCCTTCTTTCTACTCAACTTTTTACTACTTCACTTTATCCCTTTTCTCCCTTCACACTTGTTCAGGTACATCATCTGAGTAAACCATTTTTTTTTTCTTCTCTTCAGTCCAACATTCATATATTAAGTTCTGTGTCTTTTTTTTTGAGACAAGTTTTCACTCTGTTGCCCAGGCTGGAGTATGGTGGCATGATCATGGCTCAATGCAGCCTCAACTTCCCAGGTTCAAGCAATCCTACCACCTCAGTCTCCTCTGGAGTAGTTAGGACTACAGGTATACATGACCACAAATGGCTAATTTTTGTATTTTTTATAAAGATGGGGTTTTGCCATGTTCCCCAGGCTGGTCTCCGAACCCCTGAGCTCAAGCAATCCACCCACCTCAGCTTCCAAAAGTGCTGGGATTACAGGCGTGAACCACCGCATCCAGCCCAGGTCTGCTTTCTAGATCTGAAGTTTTCTTTTACTATTTGGTCAAACCAGTCAACTAACTCTCTTCTTGAGTAAACCCTTTCAATTACAAATTTCTGCTGAAGGATTCCTCTGTAAAGATACATTACATCAAGGTTCGGAGCAGAAAATACACTGCCAAATAAAATCCACTCCAGTTTACTGGGTTACAATCAAACGCCAACAGTTCAATTAAATGCTCTAATAAATCTCAAAATACATCTACCACAAGGAAAACAGATACTTTAAAGCTAACAAGTGTGCTTTTTAATTACACATACTATTCCTTTCATACCTTGAAGTAGTCATCTTGAGTAACAACAGAGTTTCTCAGTCTGCTATTCTCTGGGTTAAACAGACAAGATACCACCGTTTGTATGCTTCGGTCCACAGATTTCTGAAACAGAAGTTTTCAGTAATATAGAGACGATTCTTTCTCTCACTCTTAATAAGGGTAGTTTTTTTTCTTAATGATTTAATGAATATGTTAGTTTATTTCTTTTTTTTTTTTTTTGAGATGGAGTCTTGCTCTGTCACCAGGCTGGAGTGCAGTGGTGTGATTTCGGCTCACTGCAACCTCTACTTCCCCGATTCAAGCGAGTCCCTGCCTCAGCCTACCAAGTAGCTGGGACTACAGGTGTGCACCACCATGCCCAATTACTTTTTGTGTTTTAGTAGAGACAGGGTTTCACCATGTTGGCCAAGACAGTCTCGAACTCCTGACCTCGTGATCCACCCGCCCTGGCCTCCCAAATTACTGGGGTTACAGGCATGAGCCACCACACCCATTCACATTAGTTTATTTCTAAAGAAACGCCAAAAAAAAAAAAAATGCCAAAAGAGCCCAGGTTCGGTGGCTCATGCGTGTAATCCGTGCATTCTGGGAGGCTGAAGCTGGCAGATCACCTGAGGTCAGGAGTTCAAGACCAGCCTGGCCAACATGGCAAAACCCTGTCTCTACTAATAAATTCAAAAGTTAGCTGGGTGTAGTGGTGGGCATCTGTAATCCCAGCCACTCAGGAGGCTGAGGCAGAGAGAATTGTTTGAACCCAGGAGGCAGAAGTTGTAATGAGCCAAGATCACACAACTGCACAGGCAACACAGCAACACTCTGTCTTGGAAAAAAAAAAAGAAATTCATAAAAATGTGAATCATAATTCTTACCACGTATCACTCAGTATAGGTAAGTGTTCTGAAATACCAAAGAATTATTTTAGAAACTTAGTGATAGATTACTGCTGGTTTAAAAAGCTGAATTGGTTAAATCCCTAAGTGAACGCCAATGGTTCAAAGAAAAATACTCAGGACAAAACCTGGTATTATACTGTAAGCTATTTTAATATTCATTCACATTTTAAAATCGGTTATCAAATCAAGGAACACTCCAATGGGGCTCCTTTGGTGTTATATGTATTACCAGCACATCAACTACTTCTACACTCCCACCCATTTAACAGAACATTTGTGTTTCAAGATTGTTATTACAGAAATTTGCTCTAATGACTAAAAAAAAAACAAAACAAAAAAAAAACAAAAAACACATCTCTCGTTCAGTATTTGAATAATTACCACTGACTTCATCACTGTTGATAACTACTGCCACATATAATGTTATGGAGAGAATACCATAATGTGTTTCACTGTTGAGCTAAGTAAACAGCAAAACTGTTATAAAAGAAAAGGTACACATAATTCATATTAATTCCTCTTTTAAAAAGTAGAATTCTTGAAAAAACCCTCCCATAGCATTCTGCCAAATCATATTAATAGTTATTAAAGCATGATTTTTAAAAATTAATGGAACTGGAATACAGAAAAGGACTGATGAATCAGAAACTTTATGTATACATTGAAAATACAGGGTATCTGAAATTTCACCAACTACATTAACTGCTGAATATCAGTCAATTACTTAAGGTGTATAATTTATGGTTCTCATCTTTAAATTTGGGCAAAATGCTTGCTTCTCAAAAAACCATTATTAAAACTCAAAAAAATAAATATGAAATACATATATTGATAATCAAAATTAGATGTTTGCCTTTTGTGGGCCATTTCCAGAGGGTGGAGTAGCTTCACAAACTGAGCATTCATTTGGCACAACTTCAGCTCCTGGATCAACTTCATTACAGTGGTAGTTAATAGCTGAATAAGCCTATATTTAAAATAATAGAAGTGTAATTAAACAGATAGCATGTAAAAGCCGCCTATTTATTCTTCAAAAAGGTGAGCTGGTATTGAAAGTTTCAACGTAAGTTGTGTTGAAATGCAATTATATTATTTTAGAAACTTTGTTTTCAACGAACAGTTGAAATACAGTAAGGCAGGCTTTGTTTTAAAATGTCTTCTAGGCATCAACATAATCAGAGTAGAAGGACTCTAAGAAATTAATGTAGTAAGGAAGTGTTTGAAAATTTTAACATTTATTATATCCTTCAGATTTCCAATCCTGATGCAAGCTCAGGTGTTTTAGACTTATTTAACAGTAATTAACAACAACGTATTTCTGTTAAACATTTCTGTTTCCCTTCAACAAATTTTGTACATCTGGTAAAAGCCAGAGGCAGATTCTAGGCAAATACATACTAATTCTAAAGCTACATTAATACTACCTTTCTTGAATTATATAATCTATCAACCAGTAAGTGAATACTTATATGTTGACCAGCCATTGCTTAAGCACACAAAAACCTGAGAGAAAACGGCAAGGTTACTCCCATGGGAGTTTATAATTGGATTAGTAAGAAAATAACAAAACATAACACATTAATATAAAGAACCATTTAAAAATATTCATAGGCATATATGACATGGCAAAAAATCAAGAAATATAGTTAACAACAACAAAAAAATACTTTAAAATAAAGAACAGACATGTATGTTTAGCTAATTCACTTTACCGGAGGTACAACATAACTCCTTTGCTCCCCGACAGGCCACTGTGGTGGCATCTTAAAAAAGAAAAAAAAAAAGAAAACCAAAATTATTCAAATATTCCTATACATTTTCAAAAACACATGAGATACACAATATTGAAGTATTTATCACGTTGGCTCCTTTAATTATTATAATAAAAGAAACAGAATGGAAAAATGATATACTTTATTGTTTCTAATCCCTGAGAAGGTTCTTGTTACTTCCATATATAAAACCTCACCTTTTTCCTAATTTTCGGGAGTTGGCATTGTGGAAATCTCAGATATGAGTTCCTTGAATTTATTAACATACATATGATTATGGGTCATAAATACAGTGGTATCTATGCAAAGAGACTGAGAGAACTATTGTGAAGCAGCCAGCTAAAATAAACACTATTATATGTAATTTGAACTCTGTGTCCTAAGAATGGAGTAATAATTTTATTTCACTCATCTCCCTAAAAAACTGATAAAAGTCAGTCTGGACGTTTCAACTATTTGACAGCAAAGATGAAAAAATACAGGCTGAAATATAGAAGGGGACACCAAATCTCAGAAAACTGTTCTAGAGAAAAGTTATTGCTAAGTACATTCCTGTCAAAATATTATTCCATAATTCTAGATGAATTCAAATTTTTTCCTTAAATTTCAGGTACATTTCACTAGTTTAAAATGACAAACTATTCAGGCATTTGCATAAACAAGTTAAAGAACTCTATAATATCTGAAAGTAAATCATTTTGCTCCCTCTTAAATTACCTGATAATTATATACAGGCAACTGATATCCAGTGATGACTTGGACTGGTGAATTTGGATAAGGAGGATATGCCTGAAAACAAAGTTTACAGAAAGAATTAATCAGGTGAAACATTTTTTAAAAATTACAAAGAAATATTATTCCCAATATAACAAAAATATGAAAAATTTTAAAATCTTAATCATTTTTCTATACACAACAATGCAGAATGTTAAATGAATGACTGATTTTACAAACAGGGAAATACTCTGTGAAGTGCTACCCTTTGGGTGGGGAGGGAGAACAGACAAATGACAAAAGAAGTGACTATTTCACCAGGCAAAGATTACCTTATTTATACTGTGTACTTAATCCCACCCAGAAGTTATTTTCTACAATGGTGATAAAGCTCTATTAAGACAGAGTTCAGTGTAAGTTAAATTAATACATTTGCTATTTCTTCATCAAAATACTTCTAGACAGCTTTGTATCTGATAATATTATAGGGTAATAGTAGTTCTCCTACAGATTTCATGGCTTTTTCTGTACTTCATTTTGAAAAATTACAAAATTTTTCAGTATATAATCCAAAACTGGAAAAGAGACAGCATAATGTCAACATGTTTCAATAAATACTTATTGATTGAAAATGTATAGGTAGCTGCATACGTGAATATACCCAGATTCAGCTATGGCTCACAGTCAATGTTAGAAACAAGTAGGGCCTTTTTTCTAGCCATTGTTCAGAGAAGGAAAAAGTAAAGATACACCCTACACATTTCAATTACATGGAAAATGTCGACAAATGAGACACTGAAGACAACTATTTCACTACGATTTTGTTACTTTATTTTTCAGCAAAGAAAATGTCTTTTAAACTAAGATGCGAAGAAAATAAACATTATTTATCATCAGTAAGTGGTAAGAAAACTATTTCACTACTGTTACTTTATTTTCCAGCAAAGAAAATGTCTGTTAAACTAAGATGTAGGTAAGATGAACTAAGAAGAAAATAAACATTATTTATCATCAATAAGTAATAGTATGTTCAAACCCAACTAAGTATCAAACCAAGATTAGAGAAATTATATGCCAGAAATTCAGAGAATTTATGGATAGAGTAAAACACATCAGAAATCTACCCATTCCAGAATCAGACTATATCAAGAAGTCAGCAATTTATATAAGGAGGCATCTGGAAATCATTGCAAATAAAGAATAGCTAGATAAATTGCTAACCTTAGAGAAGAATAAACTAGGCAGACATAAAAGGAAAGCTGCTTTCAAATATTTTAGGAATTATATGTGGGTAAAAAGGAAGAGATCTGTTCATGTGTCTACAGAGGTCATTTCTAAGATAAAGACAAACTATTTTTTAGCTCATATAAAGAACACTGAGAATAAAAAATTTCTAACATAAGTAACAAATTTCCCATCACTCAAAGTGTTCAAAACATGGATTGTATTACCACTTACTATGGAAACTGTGGATATAATTCCACACAGGGTATGATGATTACAATAAACAAGAGAATAGGAATGTAAACAATTCTTACCTGAACATATTGAGTTACAGGATTCATTGTAGTTGGGGGATGCATATAAGTTTCAGTGTTTGGATTACTCCAGACATTCTGAAACTGTGGTGGAGGAGGTTGATTAAAAACCAAAGGACGTGGCTGTACATGATAAGCACCTTTTTAAAAAGCAAAAAGAAAACAGCTTATTTTTAATTATTTGAAAAGCTACACTTGTCAGTAAGAACAATTTTTCTACTCACATAAATTTTGTTTCCTGATTGCAGGGCCCAGTTTCAGCTTTTTACCATGGAAATTTATCTGTGACTGAAAATAAAACAGTAACAAAACTGGGATCAATTTTCAAGTCTTTACTTCCAAGACTTAGGTAAACACCTGAAGTTCTTATCATAGATGATCACTGATAACTACATATCAAATTAAAATTTGTCACCATGAAGCTACCTTACTTACCCTTACTAACCAGTGTCAAGAGGCATCAAGTGAAAGCTGACCAAAAACTTTTCATGAACCTGTCTCCAACCTTTCCTGTCTACAGTTCATGAACCTAGGTAGGTGCCCAGTCAAAAATAAACAGGTTCTAACAAGTTACGTGAAGTTACTCTAAGTTTGGATTTTGAACAGAAATTGTACCTTTTGAATAGAAGGCGTACCTTTCTCCAAATTTTCCACAAGACTGAGTATATTACTCAACACTAAACATTGTAACAATAAAATAAGGAATTTTTTATTACTTACTTCTACTATCTTCTGCACATCCACGTCATTAAAAAATGAAACAAATCCATAGCTATAAAGGCAGATAAAGTATAAAATCACCATCACACAGTACATGGTTCAGAACTTCTGGTATTCTATATATAGAAGTGATCATGACAAATGATAAATAATACACTATAAGGTATTTGTTAAGATGTACATGACAGATCCTCTACAAATACTACTTTTTCTTAATCTGAGCTATGTCAAAATGTGCTAAGATTAGGGTAGTGTGAAAACTTTATTAACAAAAAATTTCTGTGAACCTGAATTTAACTCACTAAGATGACAAGATGGTTAAAATTTAAGATACTATGCAATGTATGAAGAAAGCAATTCTTTGAGAAAACTGATTAATTCATTTGTATAAAGATTGGAGATATTTAAAAAAAAAAAAATAAGAAAAATGGTTAAATAGAAGAGCTGGCAATAAACTTTTATCCTCTACATGAAAGAACTTAACACGGCAACAAACTTCATTCATACAAGTGTCAGAATATCAGTTTTGAAGTCTCTTGATACTCTACAGGTGGCTAGAGTTCAGATATTTTTAATAAAATTACTCACCCTTTGGACACACCAGTTCGATCCGTGATTATCTTCACTTCTTTCACTGAACCGTATCTAGCAAAGAAGCTTCTAATCTCAGTTTCATCCATCTATAAAAAAGAATTGAACTTCAAAAGTAAATTCAGCATTCAAAAATTTCAATTTTACTACAAAGCAGGTTTGATCTGAAAATGTCTCTCCCATTTATCCCCAAATGACCAGTAGCTCTTTGCCAAATATATTTAGTATCTATGGGTCAAACATAAATCCAATTCAAAACCTCCATGAAGTGCTAAAAAAAAAAAAAACCTTAAGTTTGTAACAGGCCCCAAATTCCATTATTAATAAAGTATTTAAGGTAAAAATGAGAGATGAATACAATACCCTAACATCAATTCCACCAACAAAAACAGTGTTTGGCATGATTTTGCCTTCTGGTAAAACATAGCCTTGGCTGGTTGTAGCTGATGAAGGCTGGGTGTTGGCCTCTCTGGAGATGGTTGAGTTTGGAGTCTCAGGATTTGCAGCAGACTGTAATTTGGAAAGTAGACATCATAATTAGATGTACGAGCAAAAACAATACATAAAGTGAAATATAATTTTTGTATTTTAAGTATATTTTATATGAATTAATTATAAATTAGTCACCAGTGCAGCTTAGTTCAGGCTCAGGATTTTAACTGATCAGATTATATCAGCATGGAATTTTAACAACTGGATACAGTACTTTCTTAAACCCAGTGTTGCTCATCGCCAAGTGCAAATCTTGAACAATGCTGTGAAGAATACATTACTTAGTATTTGTGAAAATATTATGTGATCTCTTCCTCGGCACTGCCTACGGAGGTAGCGGCGATCTCCTCCTCGGCATCATGGCTGCCCTTAGACCCCTTGTGAAACCCAAGATCGTCAAAAAGAGAACCAAGAAGTTCATCCGGCACCAGTTAGACCAATATGTCAAAATTAAGCGTAACTGGCGGAAACCCAGAGGTATTGACAACAGGGTTCGTAGAAGGTTCAAGGGCCAGATCTTGATGCCTAACACTGGTTACGGGGGCAACAAGAAAACAAAGCACATGCTGCCCAGTGGCTTCCGGAAGTTCCTGGTCCACAATGTCAAGGAGCTGGAAGTGCTGCTGATGCGCAACAAATCTTACTGTTCTGAGATCGCTCACAATGTTTCCTCCAAGAACCGCAAAGCCATTGTGGAAACAGCTGCCCAGCTGGCCATCAGAGTCACCAACCCCAATGCCAGGCTGCGCAGTGAAGAAAATGAGTAAACAGCTTATGTGCACATTTTGTGTTTAAATAAAACTGGCATCTTGCTTAAAAAAAAAAAGAAAGAAAAAGAAAATATTATGTGAATTGGTTGAAAAAATCAAAGTTCATACTTGTAAAAATTAGTTATTAAATCATCCTGTTCCATTCATAAACTTTTCATTTTACTGAGTACACTAAAACCATAAATCTTAAAAAAAAATAAACCCCAAGAAGCCACATCAAAAAGAAAATAAGCCTCAAAGTTTTAAACCAATTTGCCTTGCTTTGCCTTTTTCACCAAAATTAACATGAATTTTTACAATTTTAACACTCCCTGTGTTAGTATGCCTGCTTTACTTTGGAAATGGATCATGGAAACATTATTTGCTCACATGTCACAGCTCCTTCTAAAAAAAGGGTTATAATCCTCTTCCCTAATGCTAGCGTGTTCAAAGCATCTTTTGAAATAACATTTTTCTTCCTAACACCAAATCAGTCTCACTGATAATTCTAATTTTCACAGTGGGCTGACAGATATAAATGATACCATTTTTATTTTCAGATACATAAACATATACATGTAATTCATTATTTTTCTGGATTCTGATCAGAACTGTCTTTATTCTTTCCACAGTAGACTTTAGGCTAATGTAAAATGACACTTTCTGAATTAGAATTTACAAGTAATATATATATTGGAGAAACAATATGGCATAGTGAAACAAAGATTAATTTGGTCAGGAGATCTAGGTTTATGTCCCTTACAGGTAAGTAGCTTATAACCACTTACTTGCCAGCTGTGTATCTCTGGGCAAATTGCTTTGAGAATGAAATGAGATAACATCTGTGAATTCATTTTGTAAAGTTTAAAGTGGTATGCCAATATAAGTTAGTGTCCTGTTATTTTATTTTCAGTAGCTTTTTTTAAGTTTCTTTTTTGGCTTTACTATTTTAGCTGACATATTTTGAAAATACTTTTAATAATTAAGAACTAATTGAAACATCAGGAAACTATGGCACATCATTAATTTAAAAACCATGTTAAATGCCTGTTGACTATAAAAGAACTAAAAAAGGCTGCAAAAGAGAAAGCTATTACACGTACACCTGTTTGAAAGAAAAGCAAAGGCAAAAGAAAGGGAATGTACATCTTTTTAAAAAGCACAGTAATTTTATAGAAATTAATAAGTAGAGCTCCTGCTTTGTTAATTAGATACTAGAAGTTACTAACTCTACACAGCTTTATTAGAGACGAAATCTGAATTGTCAAATAAACTAAAGGTGAGTTTACTGCTTTTCTCTATTCATTTGTGCTTATATTTGCTATTTTGGGTTTGTTACTAAATTCCTAGTTCTTTAATAGTGCTATTTCATGACAAAGATGTGAAAGAAAAATTTAAAAACAATTTCTGAAGTTTTTCCTTTCTAAACATGTTTTTCTAAATTAGAATATACGACACAAGCTGCATATATTTAACTATTTAGAACCTGATTAAATTTCCCTTCCCTATAGACAATTTGCCAATCCCTTCTCAGTTCATTCAAAAATCCCAAACAGAATAAAACAAAAGAAATTCTGAAATTCTTGGGGAGTTTCTTTTCTCCTTTTTAATTCCCCTTTGATTTGTGGATGAACTTTGGATATGTTTTTATTTGATAAACAAGCTATGTATACAGTATTGTCTCTGCACCACAGTGTTTGGATGTATTTTAATTTAGAACTGTAACATCTGGCAGAAAACTGTGTCAGATAAAAGGTTATGATAATGCATTGATTCTCAACTGGGGAAGACTTTTGAGCCCCACCTGCATTTAGCAATGTTTAGAGATTGGCTGTCACAACTGAGGTGTATTCCTAGCATCTGGTGTGCTGAAAGCCAGGGATACTACCGCACATCCTACAATGCAGAGACAGTCTTCTACAACAAAGAATTATTTGGTCCAAAATCTGAACACAGTGTGGTTAAGAAACCTTGTGACAGTGCTGCAAGAATTGAACAGGAAAATTATTGTTTGGAAAAAAACTTACTTCCATTGTTTAGTAAAGTAAGTCTTTTCAGGACCTCAGTTTCCTTGCTTGAAAATGAATGGCTGGAAAAGACCTCTGGTGTCTCTTCCAATTCTCACACTCTATACAAGAGTAAAACGGATACTTGAGACAACAATAGTTTGATAAAAAGAAAAAAAGGCATTTGATATTATAGGAAGTCTTACTTTGGCTTGGATCTTACAAACTGGCTACCTGCTTAAATGGAATCGTAAATATAAAATTGGTTGAATCATTTTAATAGTGTAACATCTTAAATTAAGGAGGTCATCATTATGACCTAGTCTTCAGCCAGCAGGTGGCGCTCAAAGCTAACAAAGTAAGCAATGTACTTCATTTTTACCATAGCTTGATTAGCAGGGATTGTTAAAATTCCTAGTTTTTACACATAATTATAATATATATAAATCCACAATCAATGGACAACCTTTGGTTAGTTTTAAACTATGGCCAAAAATATAAATGAATGCTTAGAATAAGCAAAAGTTTAAGTACCATCTTAACAGTCAATAGTATCCTGAAAACAAACTGAAGTACCACCTTCATACTTTCAAGTGAGTTGGTAAATTATGAAACGAGAAATGTTGGAATAAACAGGGGTGAGCCTCAAAGACCATCACATACACAACTGTCCTGGCTATTTATAGCAAATATGTTCCTTGTTATATATGGACAACCAAGTGACAAAAACAGCTAAAAGCTGAAAAAAAAATCATTATTTAAACTCCTGGGATACCAGCTCCTTTGACAGTATTATCTAATTCAGTTACTATACGTACATGTAAGCGAACTGAAATTTATATAAACTGACCAGGAAAAAGCCTAAAATTTGTTGTTACCAAAGTTACATTCACAGCAACAGGAGGGAGTGAATAAAGAGAATACTAAAATTAAGAAAATATGACATGAAAATCAGAATCAAGGCGGAAGTTGCAGTGAGCCGAAATCGCACCACTGCACTCCAGCCTGGCGCCTGGCAACAGAGCAAGACTCTCTCAAAATAAACAAACAAACAAATAATAAATAAAAATTTTTTAAAATCAGAATCAAAACTAAGTAAATCCAAGAGTAGATTCTTGGGAAGTAGGGGTGGCAGAGAATGAAATTCAAGCAGTAAACAATCCTGGCAAAACTAGGCAAGAAAAAGCAAGCAAAGTATGTATGAGACCTGAAAAACGGGTTATGACCACCCATTATAAAAGAATGCTATGCATAAACTCTATCGGAATAAATTTGGAAATCAACACGGCGAACGTGTAAAGAAATTTAAGTTTTTACAAAACAATCTTGAGAACACCCAGTGACACCTGGCTGAGTTTCCCTGGCAGTTTTTCAATTTATAAAGAAACGGGTAACTTGGGTGTACGTGTGTGTCAGAGAAAGGCGCACACGCTCACCAGACCCAGAAATAACGGTGGAAGACACAGAAGAGAATATTAAATTCAAACACTTTTCTCCAATACTGAGGAAAAAATACTTCTATATGCATTTTATAATCTTATTGCTAACAGCACAAAGTAACAAAGCCTCATCAAGATCATCCATCCCTGCCCTCAACACAAATGCAAAATTCCAGCAATATATAAAGAATATGCCATCATTAAGTATAATTTATATCGGGAATGTAAGAATAGTTCATTCGCAAGATGCATTACTTCATCACTCAAAAAGCATTTGATAGAATACAGCATTCATTTTAAAATTTTTTTAAAATCCAAATAAAATAGAAATAGAGGGATCTTATTTTCTATATATCTAATTCTACCCTATTATTAAGCTTTAAGTGAAATACTAATCTCCATTGAAATTAGGAATAAGGTTAGTGCACCTCCTTAATGCTATTTTCCAGTATGTATTTGACAAAGGTGAATATTAATGCAGAGATGAATCAATAAGAAAAATTTAAAAAGAAATTTAAAAAGCTAATGATCGATGATCAACTTCATGATTTTAAAAAGTGCACAATATACTGAAATATTTTCCAGCTATTAGGTTGACAATTTAAAAAATCCCAACACCTTTTATTGTAAAGTGTGGAAAAGAGTATGCCAACAGTGGGAAAATACTGATAGACGCTTTAAGAAGAGTACCTTGGAACAGTTGTATCAAAATTGGATAGGCAAGGATACTCACCACTATACTAACGAAGAGCGTAATTTAAAATTCTTATAAAAGCGGCAAAGGGCTTTCACCCAGCAATTCCACTTACAGCAATTCATCTCAAGGAAGAGTACAAGTGTGCCAAAATATTTACACTAGGATATTCATAGCATTTTTTTTTTTTTAGACTGAGTCTCTGTTGTCTAGGCTAGAGTACAGTGGCACCATCTCAGCTCACGGCAACCTCTGCTTCCCAAGTTCAAGTGATTCTCCTGCCTCAGCCTCCCGAGTAGCTGGGATTACAGGTGCACGCCACCACACCCGGCTTTTTTGTTCTAGCAGAGACGGGGTTTCACCATGTTAGCCAGGCTGGTCTCAAACTCCCGACTTCAAGTGATCCGCTGGCCTCAGCCTCCCATCACTTTGGTGTGAGCCACCGCGCCCGGTCAGCGATAATATTGTTTTAATATTGAAAAAGTATTCATCATAAGGGAATTTGGTAATAAAAGTATAATTTTTAGCATGATATATTGAAAAGTTACCTTCGGAATAATGCCCACATTAATTGAAAGATGCAAGCTGTAAAACTATTATGCAGCACAGTGTAACTTTTTTAACAGGTGGCCCATCTATATGCTATTCCTGCATAAAAATAATCTGGAAGGGCATACCTATATCAAAATTCAACTGTGCTTGTAAGTGTTGGGATTAAGATGGGTTGCTATTTTCTTACAGTGATTGTTTTCAAATAAGTAAACATGCTACTTTTATAATCAGAAATCCCAAGGAAACTATTAGCATTTCTTCTCTTTACCTCCTACAAAAAAGTATTGTAAATTATTACTTATAACTCAAGGTGATTTATTAGTATAACTACATGTTGCACAATTATTACACGTTTGTTACTATATGTTCATTTTAATATTTATACATGCTAATATAAACTGTGTATAAATTTCCTCCCTTTATCTCTAAAAATGAAGAGCCTGAGAACTGCTAACGCAGACACACACACAGAGCATGTAATATGCGCGTTCGTGACTCACTGGTTGGTCAGTGTGTTCAAAGCCGCGTCTCGTGGTGGCACTGAAACAACGCTGAGCATTTACCAAATTCATAGAACCGTACACCTAACACCATCTACCAAATGCACATTTTTGTCAAAGATTCCTGGTTTATGCAGAGAGGAACAAAACTGTGCCCCGAGTATAAAAATTCTAAAATTCTCAATGGCGACTGAGGCCCACCTCGTGTCACAAAGATGGCGTCAGGCGAGTTGTGCCTGTCGCCGCTACACGAGGTAGCCACCATCAGCAAGTCCCCAGAGGCTGGAAGGCGCGAAGCGACCAGAGGCACTTCCGGCCCAGCTCTGCTCGGCTAGCAGCTGCGCCTTAAGGACGCCCCATACCCCCCACTGCGGCCCCCACAAACCCCGCCCACACCACCCCATACAAGGACCGGGAGGGAACCACTTCCTGAGGAAGCTCCCGCCTTCCGAGTCCAAGGAGACAAGTCCCTCAGCACGCCTGCCGCCATCTTGAAAGAGCCACGCGGAGAGCACCGGAAGTGAGGCTGGCGGGATGAGGCCGTGAGGGGGTGGGGGAGGGGGAGGGCCGTGTCGGGGTGGGGAACCCGCACCCCAAACTTCGGCCGGCAGGGCGGGAAATGGGTACCACATTAGAGCCGAGACCCTTGCACGTGGCCTGAGCAGCAGTGGGCGGCGTCCCCCGGACCCACCCCACCACGCCACTCTCGGCGTCCCGCCACCTCAGCGCGTCACTCTCCGTGTAGGCCGCACCGCCTCCAGGCCGCCTGTCCCCACCCTGCAGGCCACCACTCGTGGTGCGTCCAGACGGGTGCCCCCTAAACAAACAGAAAAGCCGGGGTGGCTTTGCTTTCCACCTCCGCAAAGCCGCGTTTCACCCACCGGTGAAAACCCCGCCGACCTTGCCCGTCAGACCTCCCCCTCAACTCACCATGATGGCGGCAGGCAGTAGTTCCCGACAAGCTCGAGGAGGAGCGGAGGCTGTGCTTCACGCACCACTTCTGGGGTTGCTGTGAGGTCCGCTGGAACCCGCTGCGCGGCTTCGAGTGGTCAAAGGAACCAAATGCAGAGGTGGAAGGCGAAGCAAAGGCAGGTGGTAAGGCTGAGGAGCCCCAAAAGGTGGTCCGTCAGGCTAAGGAGCGCAGGCGGACTGAGGCGTGGTCTGTGGGGAGCGGGGAGGTGGCTCCTGCGCCGGGTATCGGGGCGCGTGGTATCGGCCTCAGCCAATGGGTGGCAGCGCCCCCGCCCCTCTGCGGGCGGGGGGGTGTGGGGGGCGACGGCGCCCACGCTGTGTGTACGTAGGGTACGCAGGGCAAGGCGTGTGCGTGTGTGTGTGTGTGTGTGTGTGCGTAGGGCCAGTGTCTCGGTCCCAGGCTGGCGCCGCCCTCACGTGAACAAGCAGACCCACAAACACGCACATCACCTCCAAAATGCCCTTAAAAAACCTTTGAAATAAGCATGCATACTGAAATATATGGTACAGTTTTAAAAAATGATAATGTGTCTAGGCTATAGTTTCAAAATGGCTTCTCGAAGGCACAGGGTCAGTCCAATCACTGTTAGCTTCACACCCACCTCAAAATGTTTTTAAATGCCTGCAGAAATAAATAGAAGGAAGTCTGTGGAAAACGGAAGTTTCAATAGGCCAGAAACTTGGACTCCTTTCTGTCAAGTTTGAGACAGAAGGGGTTGGATGGGAGGAAATGCCAGTTTGACATTCAGGATGTTCGTTCTTTCAGGAAACAGTTAAAGATTTCCTGTGATTACCAGGTACTGCAGATGCAGCAGTGAACAGAGTAAAAGAATATCTCTTTGCTCAGGGATCTTACATTTTAATGGGAGAATTCACCTTCTAGGCCTTACGGGGAGAAGCTACGCCTTCCTGGAGAATTCTAGAACATTCTCAAGGTCAGAGCAAGAGCCCAGAGCAGGAGCGACCTGTAGGGCAGGTTTTGGAGCCAATCACCTAACTTTGGGAACCACTCCTTCCTACAGGGCTAAGTAGCTATGACCCTTATCCGCCAACTTAAGTTGTGTACTGACAGCCGTAAAATGTTACTTTTTGAGCTGGCAAAATAATGGACTTCCATTACTAGCAGTTTGTAATGCGGGATAAAAAAATAATAACATTGTATTTTCAATATGCAGCTAATACCATAAGAAAAGAGGGGAAATTCCAAATACCAAAAATAAACTGAAAACCAGAGCAATGACTTGTTCAACTGATTCTTCTCCTGCCCAGAATATAGGGGCTGGGCTGTAGGGCAGCCAGTCATACTAGTTTGCCTAGGACTTAACTGGTTTTAGCACTGAGAAATTCCTATGTCCCTAAGAACAATTGGTCATCCTAGTTGTGGGCGAAGTATTGTTACTCTCTCTAACTTGAGGTCTGGATATTTAGGGGCTGGAGGTGAGTACTCCGCAAAAAGCCATTGTCCCTAAAATCCTTGGGGAAAAGACTGGAGTAGGAAAAATGTAAAACACCCATGGATAAGCAGATGAGGAAACTTGTCCCATCTCTGGATGAAGAAAATATATATTTAACTCTGATTAAATTTTGAAACCCTAGGCCTTTATTTCATCAAAGTTTGGAGGTTAAATCTATAACACATATTATTGGAATCCCCAAGCCAAGAAATAGATCCTCCTACACCATCACCCTCTCTTGCCTAAGCAGAGCCTAGATATGGGGGATCTAGAATGCCTGGCAGAAGCAGACATAAAACTGACTTGGACGAATGCTTCTACAACCTAGGCTGAAAGCTATTCTTATAAGAAAATGACCCTTTAATGATAAGCTTACAGTAAAAAAATTATAAAACACTACTTACCTTGAGTAAGAATGGCATACAAAAAGTTAAGATGTCAAAAACTTACAGAAGAAGCTTCTTTTGGATTGTGTATATCTGTGTTTTTTTCTTTTTCTCACATTTTTTCCTCAATTTATAATGCCCTCTCTGTGTGTGTGTGTGTGTGTGTGTATATATATGTATGTGTATTTTTTTGTGTGTGTGTGATGGAGTCTTTCTCTGTTGCCAGGCTGGGATGCAGTGGTGCAATCTCCGCTTACTGCAACCTCTGCCTCTTGGGTTCAGGTGATTCTCCTGCCTCAGCCTCCAACTAGCTGCGACTACAGGCATGAGCCACCATGCCCAACTAGTTTTTGTATTTTTAATAGAGACAGAGTTTCACTGTGTTGACCAGAATGGTCCCGATCTGTTGACCTCATGATCTGCCCACTTCTACCTCCCAAAGTGCTGGGATTACAGATGAGAGCCACTGTGATTGTTTTAATATTTTAAAATGTAAACCTAAAATATAAAGCTGACAAATAGCTTTACTCTCCTCTTGAATAATGCAAAGACCTTTAAGATGTTTTAGCTCTACGTACCCTCTCCTTTCTCCGTTTATAAGTTATTCACTATTTTAGTTCTATCCTGATTTCATCATATAAATTAGACATCGTTTTTTCCATCCACCCACATGTGTAACAACATTTTGCTTACCATTTCTTTGCATATCTCAGATCTTCCTTCTGGATCATTTTCCTTGTGCCTGTAGCAAATTCTTTAGAATTTCTTTGAGTGACAGTATGATATGGTAAACCCTTGGGTTTTTTTCCACCTGAAATATTGTGATTTTGCCCTGTTGTTTCATGATAATTCTACTGAATATATAATTCTAGGTTTACAAGTATCTTTCCCCTCACAATATTGAGCATATTACTCTGTTATCTTCTAGTTTCTATTGCTCTTGAGAAACCTGCTGTCAGTCTTGTTGTTGATTAAGATCAATTTTTCTTTGGTGTTCTGAACTTTCACAATGATGTGACTAAGTGTGGAGTTTTTAAAAATTTCTCCTGCTTAGGAGTTTTAAGACTTTCTGGATTTGTGTATTAGCTCTTACTGATTCTAAACAGTTTTATCCATTTTCTTGTTAAAGATTAGCTAGTTAAGGAATTAAACATTATTTGTATTTTACATTTCCTAAGTGATTCTTATAATTTATTTTTCTTTAGATCATGAATTTTCAAAAAAATTTTATGAAATCTGTTAATAAAATTTTATTTAAGATCAAAACCGACTATCCATTTTAAGATTAGTGGCATAATTCGTATCAGTTCAGAAATAAATCTCTCTATTGCTTCCTATATTGGGGGGGCGAGGAAGAAGAAAAAACGCTGGTGTCTTTGGACACCTCTGTCACTTCTGTGCTCCTAAAGCCTATGGCTTTGGAAAGAAGGCTACGTTTGTATAGGCACACTTCAACTTCACTCACTTGCAAACCATTTGCATGATTTTGATTTTATCTGCCCCTGGCTCTATTATCATTTACCTGTTTTTAAAATTAACTTCTTGTTGTCCTAAACAATATTTGTAAGACTAGACTTACTGTTTTAGCTACATTTTTTAGCAATTACATTAAAATAAATACAGAATGATTCGAATTTAAAACAATGTTTGTTTATGCATCACTTCATATCACACTCTCCCAGGGCAATGGGTAACATAGTTTTGGGAAACACTGGATTAGCAGAACTCTATAGAGCTTTAGATATGCAAAGTTAGGCCCTAGGGACTAAAGAGTAGAGTTTCAAATTGTTCTGCATAATAAATGAGAGAAGTCAAATTACAGAGGGAGAAACCAAGCAAGGCAGGGAAAGTGGAAGTCCTGGAAGCTGGAGAAAAGGAATAACATTGCAGGTCTGCATGTTGGCTCACGCCTGTAATCCCCACACTTTGGGAGGCTGAGGCCAACGCATTGCCTGAGTTCAGGAGTTTGAGATCAGTCTGGGCAACGTGGCAAAACCCCATCTCTACCAAAAACACAAAAAATTAGCTGGATGTGGCAGTGTGCACCTGTGGTCCCTGCTCCTCTGGAGGCTGAAGTGGGAGGATCATTTGAGCCTGGGAGGTGGAGGTTGCAGTGAGCCAGGATCACCCCACTGCATTCCAGCCTGGGTGACACAGTGAGACTCTGTCTTAAAAACAAAAACAAAACAAAAAACAAAAAACCTTGCCAAGTGACAAGAAGTTGGAGCCTGTAGTGAAAGGTATCTGAGTACATTAGAATCATCTGGGGAGCTTTAAAAAATTTATATGCCTGTGCCTCACCCCAAACCAATTAAATCAGCTGAGGGCAAGGCTCATAAGTCAGTATTTTTTTTTAAAGAAATGTTTCTCTAGTTAATCCAATATGCAGCCAAATTTGAAAATCGGTGCTATAGAGCCTCGCTACTTAAAGTGTGATCCTCAGATCAGCAGCTTCACATCACGTTAGGTGCTGAAGAATGTCAGGCCCCACCCCAAACCTACTGAATCAGAATCTGCATTTCAACAAGGTCTCCAAGTGGCTCATATGCACATTGAAGGTCAAGAAACACTGCCGTAGAGAGCACTTGTCAGAAACAACTTGCCTCCCTGGATTTGAGAATCCTTCACCTTATAAATACAGAGTCTACTTTCCTAGCCTTTCTTGCAGCTACAGCTTGGGCATGCGACCTACACATCAATGAGGTGCACCCATCCTAAATTTTGAATAGGGGACTAGTGATGCCATAAAGAAGGGACTGCGGAGAATGCTTTCTGGAGAAGAGTATCAACAGCAGCAGCAGTCATGCAGTGGCCACTACTGTCAGTTGTGCAAGCCGTGATGTAACTCAGTGCTCAGTGGTGACAGCAGAGGTTTCTTCACTGGACGAGTTCTGCAGCATGATTTTGTGCATCATTCCTAGAGACAACCTGGCTCTTCGTTCATTTTGAGATTCTGTGAGCTAGTTACCCAATAAATTTTAATAAGTTCTTTTCCTGCTTAAATCAGCCAAAACTTCCGTGACTATTGCTTGCAACAAAACATCCTGACTACATTAGGTGATGAGTAAGGTCAGCCAAACTGCTTTTAAAAAGGTTAGCAGCTAAAAAATTTATGACACTTTGCTGTGGTTATGTAGCATAATGTCCTGCTATTGCATCCAACTTTTGGTAAGCTTTCAGTACACACACAAATGCCTTATGTCAGTGGTGTTTTGTGAGGAATGTCAAGGGCACTCTCCCTTGCAACATGGAACGGGGACAGCTTGCTGATCCACAGCAAGATGATCCATGGATGAAATAATTTATCAGGAACAGTAGCTTATAGTCAAAAGTTACCTGGAAAAGCAAAAATCATAAGCTCAGTATTCCCAGCAAGATAGATGTGCTATTCCCATTGCATGTAAGCAGATGTTTA